ACAGCCGAAGTATAGTGCGGAATTAAATAAAAAGGTATGCACACATTATTAATAATAATAATAATTTTGTTGCTAAAAAAAATTAGCAACAAAACTTGTCTTAAATGAGATAGTACCAATTAATACTTCATCCCCACTCATTTTTTCCTCACACATGCCTCCCTTCCCACACACACACACACGCACACGCACACGCACACACACACGAAAAACAAGCTTGAGATATTTAAGTGTTCCCCATTAGGCGCGTTCACACCAAGTACTTTTCCCACAAAGGTTCTCCGTATTTTGGGTGGTCCTGTGGCTCATCTCGTCTACAGAGCCTCGTAAATTGCGTTCCATATATGTTTAATTGTTTTTCCTTGTTACTGTCTATTGACATGTGCAACTTCTTATTTCAGGGAGAGCGTCTCTTTTGGCTAACAGTGTCGGCATCACAGCCACTTTGGGGCTCGTGATTCATGGTGCAGGTACACAGCACAATCTCACTATCTCTGTTGCCTTGTGTTTACCTAATGTACACAACATCTTTCAAGGAAACATCCTTGATGCAAATCAGTGGAAATGTTAATTAAGACTCTTTTACCTTTTATTGACCTCTTTCTTTTGCAGGCTGAAGCTTAACCTAATTGTCCCACATGTGAAATTTGGCATTCAGAAAACAGAATATCAATCCAGACTTATTCATCGGTTTGATATAATGTCTGTCTATATTTTTGTGAACATTAAAGGTCCCCTATTATACTGTTTTTCATCAATATATGATAGGTCTCAGATATATATACAAACATGTCTCTGAAGTGTTTGGCTCGAAATACCAAACAGATTGTGCATATCAGCATCCCATAAACCCCTCTGTTTCAGCCCTGTTTCAAAAGTGCTGATTTTGTGTATGACTGTTAAACACCTTCACTTTTGAAAGAAGATCCATAACATTCATCTGTTTGCAACATATATCAATATTCCAATTACTTGTGTATAGACTATTCTGCACTATTTCTGTTATATTATATTTTATTTACTTGCACTATAATCTGTTTGACTGTGTTGCACTGTTGGAAGAGCCTGTGACCTAAGATTTCCATTGTCATAAATACACTGTAGCTATGTACAAATTACAATAAAAGCCTTGAATCTTTAGATGAAAATAAGGAGCCACTCCCCCGCCCCTCTGCAAGATATTTGTTTTTAAAAAACTACAATGGTGCTCTAGGAGGAGAAACAAGGTGGGCGGGTGTTACCTTAGTTGGTTATTGGCTAATGGTTACACAACCCAAAAAAACATTGTGACATCACAAAGTGGACAAAATTTGATCAGCTCATTTTCAGACAGGTTTTTAAATAAATGGATCAGGACAAAAAGAGAGGGGGTCTTTGTTCCTGAAACTTTCAGAATCTCTTTACACTGTTTTATGTATAAAAGACATGAAAAAGTGGAATTTGCATAATAGGTGTCCTTCATGTGTGTTTGCTTGAAGCTGATGGATTTGCGGTGGGTGCAGCTGTAGCCTCGGGGCAAGTCACAGTGCAAGTTATAGTATTCCTAGCTGTGATCCTACACAAGGTGAGTTTCCTGAGAGAACCTGTCAGTGAGAAACATGGTATCCAAATCAATACTCAATAGAAATAATATTAACTCCTGATCTAATATCCTAGGCACCTGCTGCTTTCGGGTTGGTCTCCTTCCTGATGCATGCAGGCCTTGAAAAGAAACACATTCAGGGACATTTGCTGGCCTTCTCAGCTGCAGCGCCCGTACTTGCCATCACCACTTACTTCATATTACATGCAGTAAGAAAGCCCCAACAGCCATTTTGTGTCGTGTCGTACAGTTTGACATCAGTATTATTTGATTTGATGTGATGTGTTTTGTGTCCGCAGTCTGGCAGCTCCTCTCAGAATCAGCTCAGTGCGACAGGAGTTGGAATGCTCTTCTCGGCTGGGACGTTCCTCTACGTGGCCACAGTGCATGTTCTCCCCGAGATTAGCAGTAGGAGGACGGGCAGACCCTCCTCTGACCCCCATCAGTACTCTGGAGCTGAGGCCCACCGTGAGCGATATCTGGGGCTCCTGGAGAGTCTCACTTTGATCCTGGGGGTCGGGCTTCCTATGGTGCTGGCCTTTAGGCTGCATGACGACTGAGAAGGAAACGTCAGGAAAAGTGTAGTGTAGTGCAGTGCAAAGGTCACAGTGTCACCACACCTCAAAGGAAAACACCTGTCCCTTTTCACTTCCTGTATGGCAGAATGACAAGGCAAGATGTGTGGAGAAAGAGAGTTTACCTCGCTGTGTTTTAGTCTCAGTAAAAATGAGTCCAGCTATTGTTTGTGTATCAAAGGAGTTCTCCAGTGGGTCTAAAAACCTGATAGCTAATATATTTCCTCTGGGGAGGTTTCCATTCCAAGACTGAAAAAAGGCGCTATTTGTTGTTTGAAGTTTGAATACAATAAGCCTTATACAGGCCCTTTCATCATCACGTCA